AAAAGCACCGCTTCTTGCGCATACGCACTGGGCACCCGGCTGTCATGCCCAGTGCCCACACTACAGAAGCTGGGAAGACAGCACGCTGCTGGATAGAGGAACAGGTAAGGTCCCGTTGCAGAGCTGAGCGGCCGGCCCGGTATTCTGACACGGCCGCGGTGGAAATACCGGACCGGCCGCTCCATATTCGCCCCATAAGACGCACTGACATTTCCCCCCCAGTTTTGGGGAAGAAAAAGTGCGGTTTATACGGCGAAAAATACGGGTAAGCTATCCTGGACATTACATAAAAAGCTTGCTAGCATTCTCTGTGATAGACAAACTAATTTAAAAATCTGGACTGGGATGACCTATTGGAGGGGTTGTGCGCCAAGTTGGGTGGAGCGACTTCTCTTACTCTGACCTGCTCTTTTCTCTTATTATTTAGAACTCACTTGCAGTTCTCTTCTCCCTCTGCTTTCCTCCCCTCTCTACTCCTTTTTTTTTTTTCTTTCTTTCTTTGTTGCCTTGAGCCTCATATGTTTGCACAATGGGGGATGTTGACTTTATCTGCCTTCAGACCAGTGTAGGTTCTCTATAAACTGGGGTCAACTGGTATTTGCAATTGGCAATTTGCCAACAAAGCTTTGTTATTTTGCCATACTGGACACATCTCTATTTTGTTTGTTGGTCTAGATGCCTATTTGTTTCTTGAAACTGTCTTTCAATTAAAACTCAATAAAAATTATTGAAATGGAAAAGCAGGGCAGCACGGGTGCATAAAATCACATATGTATATACATGTGATTTTGCATTTCTTGCCCTTGGCTGTCAATCACTGGGTCCCAACCAGTGATTACTCGCTGGGGATCGGTGATTTCCGAAGATCTCCGTCGGAGAGGTGAACTGTTTTGTTTACTACAGTCATCCTCCATGTCAGCTCGGGCACACTGCTTTGGATGGCTGTGCACAGCACAGCCATCCAAAGCAGTGTGATTACAGTGAAGCACACAGCCACCGCCCCATAGTAAAACACACACAGCACACAGTTATCCTTTTGATCGCCCCTAATGTTAACCCCTTCCTGCCCAGTGACATTAGTACAGTTTCAGTGCTTTTTTTTTTTTTGCACTGATCACTGTATTGATGTCACTGGGGATGTCAGTGACACCAAGTCAGTTCCCCCCAGTGTCAGAATGTCCACCGCAGTTCTGCAGTCCCACTATAAGTCGCTGATCTCCGCCATCACTAGTAAAAAGAAAAAATCTCAGTATATATACCGCAATCTGTAAACACTATAACTTTCACGTAAACCAATTAATTTACACGTATTGGGATTTTTTTTCTAGGGAAGACATGTAGCAGAATACATTTTGGGGTAAATTTATGATGAAATTTGATTTTTTTACATTTTTTTTACCAGACATGTTTAGTAGCAAAAAGTCAAAAGTATTGTTTCTTTCTCAAAATTGTTGGTCTTTTTTTTATAGCGCAAAAAAAAAAACCGCACAAGCGATCAAATATACCAACAAAAGAAAGCTCAATTTGCGCGAAAAAAGGATGTAAATTTCATTTGGGTGCAGTGTTGCATGACCGTGCAATTGTCATTTAAAGTAACGCAGCGCTGTAAACCAAAAAATGGCCTGGTCAGGAAGGGGGGTAAATCCTCAGGAGGGCAAGTGGTTAATGACACACGTTATATACATGCAAATGCATTTTTCACTATTTGTTGGGCTTAGTGGTTTAGTATTTGTTTTTATTCTTTTTAAATTTGCATGTTATATAACATATAACATATAACACGCAGCAAAACATGGCAAAGCAGTGTTTTTGGATTTTTTTGAGCAAAAAAAAAAAAATTGGGGGTAAAAAATGCGGGTAAACGTTAATGCAATAATGATAAGAAATGCTGAAAAATTCACGCTTTTAACAGCTAACGTTACCAGCAATATTAAAGCACTCAGTGTGCATGGAACCTATATATTGAAGTGCTTCACTATTTTTTTAATTCATTGTATCCATCACTGTAAATGAATGCAAAAGCAGCTCCCAGTGTTTCTGTCAGTGGATGCAATAAAAATCTCCAGCTTTGGTGTCAGTGGATGTAATATAACCCCCAGCATTGGTGTCTGTGGACGCAATATTCACAACTTTGCTGTCACTGAATACAATATTAACCCCCAGCATTGGTGTCAGTGGCTGTAATAACCTCCATGATTATAAAAGGCCTCAGCATTGGTGTCAGTTGATGCAATGATAACCCGCAGCATTGCTGTCAGCAAATGCAATAAAACCCCCCAGCATTAGTGTCTGTGAATGCAAGATCCCCAATATCCACCAACGTTGCTGTCAGTGGATACAATAATAATCCCCAAAATTGGTGTCAGTGGCTACATTAACCTTCATCATTATAATGGGTCTCAGCATTGGTGTCAGTGGATACAATAATAGCCCCCAAATTGCTGTCAGTAAATGCAATAAAACCCACAAGCATTGGTGTCTGCAGTGTGCAATATAAACCCACGGCATTGGTGTCTGTGGATGTAATATCCACCAAGCTTGATGTCAGTGGATGCAATAATAATCCCCAGTATTGTGTCAGGGGCTACAATAACTTTCAACATTGTAATAGGCCTCAGCATTACTGTCAGTAGATGCAATTAAAAACCTCCAGCATTGCTGTCAGTAAATACAATTAAAAACCTCCAGCATTGCTGTCAGTAAATGCAATTAAAAACTTCCAGCATTGGTGTCAGTAGATGCAATAACCCTCAGCATTGGTGTCTATGGATGCAATATCCAGCAACTTTGGTGTCAATAGGTGTAATAATAACTCCCAGCATAACTTGAGCGCAAAACATTCCAGAACACTAGGAGTTTTTTCACATGGGCCCGTCGGAGAATTAGTTGTGATATGTGAGACCTGATCCTATTAGTTAGTTTTTTAGCAGGAAATTTGAGATTCAAGTTAAATAGGAAGATTGTTCATTGTCTGGGGCATGAAAATGGGCTTGAACAAAAGATATGGGCTAGGACCTGGGTAGAATGCTAATGGCGTTATTGGAAGAGACTAATGAATTATAAGATTGAAAAAGATGGTGGTATAATTGCCGAAAGCATGTCTTGCAACATTCAAGGCCAAAGCCATCAAGGGCCCATGACTTAGTGGTTTGCAGCTGGAATGAAATGTGTATTTCTCTCTATATAAATAATCAATACACATATTAAGAAACTATAACAGCTTTCAATCCAATACTTTTTTAATACTGAAAAAATAATTTGTTTCAGTTCTTGAAGACTGCATTTTAAGTAAGTTCTTGCCAGAATTGTTCTCTCTTTCAAATAGACAGAAAAAGCAAAGTTGCAGGTGTGTTTTTGAGGTGAGGTTCAACCCCAGGATTGCCAACAGTCAGTAACAGGGGCGGACTGACAACTCATGGGGCCCCTGGGCAATAGGGGATCATGGGGCCCCTGTGTCCTTGCCCAAACTCAAAAAAGCCTATGAAAAAGGTACCAGGGGCATTTCATGGGGCCCCCTACTGACCCAAGTTTCCAAATGGTCAGTCCACCCCTGGTCAGTAAATTTACTAACAGTTTGTAAAAATCAGTAATTGTTACAGCTCTGTACATTCAGGGGCTGATAATTTGTCATCCTGTGTTGACTTTTGTAAGTGTAAACCAGTGAAATTACTTGTTATGGGTCTTGTCCGCTATAACTGACATACAGTATGTATGTATGATGTGCTTCTTCGTTTTTATTCTCTCTGGTTATAGATTAATGAAAGTCTTGGCAATTTTCATCAGCATTTGATATGGGGTTAATGCGGTGCTCACATGGGTATTCAGATTCTGGAGGTTTTGAGTACACATTCCTATTTGGTCTCAGTTTTTATGTGTCCCCCTGTTGGAGCTCTCAGGGGTTTAAAAGGGAACAGGTCTAAAGATACAACCCAATTCTGAATGTGTAGCTTCTATGGGCATTTTCAAATATAAAATGGGTACTTTTATTAATTCCATAAGTAAGTTTTTAAAGGACATCTAAACCTAAACAACAAAATCTAATATATTGCAATTTATCAGCCCTTGGATGTGGTGGCTGCATTAGTTTTCATTTTTCAAGCTTTCTTCCTTTATTTCAACCTAGTGGTTCTGCCAGTTACTCACTTTGTGCCGATTCACACACGTGTGTTCTGGATTTCAAGGTCAGGTTTCAGTATGGATTGTAGTCTACTTGTCCAGCAGTTCAGGACCGGTTCAGGAGTGGTTTTGTGACACAGCTGTGGATTGTACTGTTCACAGGTTCAGGGCCGGTTTGAAAGGCATTTATGGTTTTGCTGAGGTGAAGCGGAGGGGAATGTTGAGCAAACTGTGCTGAAAATGAAACCTGATCCTGAACTGAAGTCCTGTTCACAACTGATGACGTGCAATTCAGAAGCAGTTCCCATAGATTTCAATAGCCTGTAATCTGCACCTGAACTGGACCTCACTACACGAAATCAGACAGGACTCTTTTTCAATCCACACTCCCAGTGCACGGGACATATGTGAACAGGCACCATAGGAAGTAATGTTATTTCACATGTCAAACTGCGTCTAATCCGCATCCAATCCGCATATATGTGAACCGGCACTGCACTTATCAAAAACATATAACAAAAGATTTCAATGGTTTCTTTACCAGATTAACCACTTGCCTACCGGGCACTTATACCCCCTTATTTACCAGGCCAATTTTCAGCTTTCAGCGCTGCCGCACTTTGATTGACAATTGCGCGGTCATGCAACATTGTACCCATATGAAATTTTGATCATTTTTTTCTCACAAATAGAGCTTTCTTTTGGTGGTATTTAATCGCCACTGGGCGCTTTACTTTTTGCGCTATAAATAAAAAAAGTGCAAAAAATGTAAAAAAAAAAAAAGTTTCTTTGTTTCTATTATAAAATTTTTCAAACAGGTATTTTTTCTCCTTCACTGATGTGCGTTGATGAGGCAGCACTGATGGGCACTGATAGGCAGCACTAATGAGGTGGCACGGATAGGCGGCACTGATAGACAGCACTAATGAGGTGTCACGGATAGGCGGCACTAATATGCAGCACTGATAGGGCACTGATAGGTGACACTGATGATGGGTACTGATAGGTGGCACTGACTGGCATCACTGCTGGGCACTGACTGGCACAACCCCTGGACACTGACTGGTGGCACTGACTGGCAGCACTGCTGGGCTGCACTGGTGGGTGGCACTGGTGGGCAGCACTGGTGGGTGGGCACAGGTGGGTGACACTGGTGGGCACAGGTGGGTGGGCACAGGTGGGTGGCACTGCTGGGCACAGGTAGGTGGCACTTCTGGGCACAGGTGTGGGACACTGCAGAGTGGCACAGGTGGGTGCACTGCCGGGCACAGGTGGGTGATCTGCTGGGCACAGGTGGGCGGAGCTAGTGGGCGGCACTGCTGGGCACAGGTGGGCGGAACTTGCGGGTGGCACTGCTGGGCACCGATCATCAGGGCACTGATCATCAGTGCCCTGATGATCGGTGCCGATCCCCGCTCTGACAACTGCCGGTTCTCGGCAGTACTTTCCTCACGATCTGACAGCGTGAGGAAAGTGCAGCCGAGAACCGGCACTTGCATTTCCCTCTGATCAGCGTGTCATTGGACACCGCTGATCACGTGGTAAAAGGCCGCTGTGATTGGCCTTTTACCACATCACGTGATCAGCTGTGTCCGTAGGACACAGCGATCACGGAGATCGCCGGGTGCGCGCCCCCTGGGGTGCACAGGAGAGCGCGTTCTGGGAGGACGTCATATGACGTCCACTCAGAACTGGCCGGCCACAGTGTAGCCGTCATTCGGCTATCTGCGGTCGGCTACTAGTTAAAGGTACCAAATAGGAGAACAGTGTTAGGATTTTTTTACACTTTAAAGTGATATTAAACCCAGAAGCAAACATTTATTATACTGCAGTTTACCAATTCTTAGATGTGGTAGCCACATTAGTTTTCTTTTTTAGACTTTCTTTATTTTTGTTTCATCTGTTGATCTGGCCAGCAAGTCTGTTACTTTTTAGCAGAACATGCTGTCCTACAAATGTAACATTTAGACGATTGGGACAAACCATTTCCTACTGACAGGGGGGAATACAATGATCAGCTTTTATTCATTTTATGTAAACCCTTTATCCCAAAAGAAAAAAAAAAACTGCTTGAGTAACTGCAGAGTGAGCTGGAGTTTGGCTTCAATGTTAGTGTATCTAAATCTTCTAGTACATCAAACACTTCCTTCCCCTCAGATTGTCAATGCTGCTGTCCAAAGATGCCCCTGTGCTATTTCTTCCAGAGTGCAGGCACCCTAATATAGGAGGTGTGTTACTAGTCAGATCACCAGGTGAGAATAGGGGGGAAAAGTCTAGAAAAAGAAAACAAATGCAGCACTGAATCTAAGGATTGCTAAGCTGCAATATATTACATTTCTGACTTTGGGTTTAATAAGACTTTAAGTAAGAATATGCTATGCAATTTTTTTTAACTTGTAATAAATATCTCCTTCCATGTTCACCTTTTCTTTTCAATTTATTAACCACTTCCGTGCCGCCCTATAACAGAAATACTATACAGGACGCACAGGGTGTGCAAATTCACATACACACATATATATATGTGTGTGATTTTGCAGTTCTGGGTAGGGGGGGCCCTTTGCGGCCTCGGTTGTCAATCGCCAGGTCAATCACTGGAGTCGGGGCTGAAACTTCTTATCTGACAAATCTTTCTCAGTTCCCTCAGGCATTCACACGGGACTTCTCGTCCACTCAAAACGCTTCAGGTCCCGGCAGTTGATCACTCGCTGGCACCCAATGATCATTGAGTATCTCCGACGGGTAAGAGACCAGTGTGTATAAACAACACAGATCTCTCCCCTGTCAGCTCCTCCACACTGCTTTGTATGGCTCTGCAAAGCACAGCCATACAAAGCAGTGTGCTTACAGTGGAAAGCACAAACACAACACAGTTAACCCTTTGATTGCCCCAGATGTTAACCCCTTCCTGCCCAGTGCCATTAGTACAGGGTCAGTGCTTTTTATTAGCACTGATCACTGTATTAGTGTCACTGGAGATGTCAGTGACACCAAGTCAGTTTCCCCCAGTTTCAGAATCCCCCGCAGCCCTGCTATAAGTCGCTGATCGCCGCCATTACTAGTAAAAAAAAATTCCAGTATATATACTGCCATTTGTAGAAGCTATAACTTTCACATAAACCAATTCATTTACACGCATTGGGATTTTTTTTTAGCAAAGACATGTAGCAGAATACATTTTGGCCTAAATTTTATGACAATTTTTTTTTTACAATTTTTTTGCTGGCCATGTTTAATGGCAAAAAGTCAAAAATATTGTTGTTTTTCTCAAAATTGTCCGTCTTTTTTAGTTTGTAGCGCAAAAAATTCAAAAATGTGATCAAATACCACTGAAAGAAAGCTCTATTTGTGGGAAAAAAGGATCTAAATTTAATTTGGGTGCAGTGTTGCACGACCGCGCTATTGTCAGTTAAAGTAACGCAGCGCCGTATCTCAAGAAAATGGCCTGGCCATGAAGGGGGGTAAATCCTCTGGAGGGCAAGTGGTTAATGAGCTACTTGCCATTGTACTCTTTGTTATTGTGAACTATGGGGCCAGTGCCATCAGAAATATATATAATCCACTGTAAACTAGAAAAGTGCCTCTTGTGTGGAACAACAGATTGCCAAATTATCCATACAGCATACACATGAATTTACCTACAACTCATTTTTCTGCTAACATAACTCTTCCCTTTGTTGTCAGTTTACAGTTGTATAATGTAGGACCTCCCGTTTACAAGCATTCACTTAAGAAATGTCAAAGAAAGTGTGATGCGGGGTCTTGTGAATGAGCAGGTGATCTGTTCAAGGGCTGCTGTCACATTGTTCTTCCCATAATCCGTGTCCTACAAATTTCCAGCCATTTGTTCCTTGTGCTGAGCAACGGTTACAATGTTACCAACAGCTGCTCCTATGACACAGAGCTGCAAGCTTTCTAAATTCAGTGCCCTGCTATAGCTGGCTGTGAATGCGGTAATGCTAGCCAGAGCATGGGAGCACAACTACTATGCCAAACATGTTGAATCAAAAAATATGAAGCTCTAAATTACTCAGCTCCTTCGGTTGGATTTAGTAATGAACACCTCTTATTCAGTAGGAAAGGTTATTAGAAAATAGCCATAACAGAGACAGGGAGTTCTCTAATTTATCTGTACATTTGTGCAATGACCTCGTTAAAAATTAAAACTTATTGCATCCTGCAGAATACAAAATTTCATATTACTAGCCACTGCAACAGCACCCCATTGAGGTTTTGTAATTTTTCAGAAAATTGGTGGACATGCAGCTCTAGAAGAACAATATCACTTTATTGCTGTTTAGAAGAAACACCTTTCTGATTATGACTCACAGTAATCTGGCTGAGCCTGATGAGAGGATGATCAGGGGCCTCTTAATGCACATTCACCCATCGGAACTGCCCAGGGGCCTCAAGTACATAAGCAGCAGCAGTAGTAAGATGCTCCACCTCTGGGGTTCCCCCGTAACTCCTGCAAAGCACCAGAAGAGCAGCAAAAACTGCAGGGGAAATAGAGGGGGAGATGTCATCCCGATTGTAGATTTAGCCTAGAGACAGAGTGCCAGAACAGGTAAGATCTGTGACAGCAGCTTCCCTGCACTGCTCTCCTTGAGGAGATCATGTCTGTATTATACATTACTGCCCCCTATACTGTGCCCTCCTGACTGCTGTACTGTGCCCTCCTGACCCCCCTCTACTGTGCCCTCTTGACCCCCCTTGTACGGTACTTCCTGCATCCCCCATACTGTGCCCTCTTGCCTCCCCTACTTTGCCCCACTGACCCCTGTACTCTGCCCTTCTGGCACCCTGTCATTTGATCTGCTGACTTTATATTGTTTGGATATTTGTGTTGATTATTCTTTGATTTACAGTATGTTTTCTTAATGTCTAAAAAGGATTTTTTTTAAAGTATTAATAAATATATGTTTAATTCTATCAACTATTTATACTTTTCATTCTTGAGAGTAGTTGCGTAAATTGAGGTAGGCTGGTAGAGGCCCAAGTGCATTACTTTGCCCAGGAGCCCATGATGCTACGAGGGGTGTATAAAAAGGGATGCTATTGTGGCAGTACTACACGCACTAGTAAGTGGCAAGTGGGTCCTATAACTGATAGGTGATGCACATGTCGCGGGCCAGTCCAGAGACTGGTAATCAAGATGGCAGACAACAGTGTTAGTGTGTGCATGGAACAGCGTGTGGTGATGAAGTTTCTTGTGAACGAAGGCGTAATACCCCTGGATATCTACAGAAGGCTTCAAGCACAGTACAGTGATGAGACGCTCATCCACAGTAAGACATTTGAATGATGTAATCCTTTCAAAAATGTCCGTATGTCCATCAGTGATGATCCCGGCTGTGGTGTTTCCCAGCCCACAGCAGTTATTCCTGTGAACATTTAGCAGTGGAACTCCTGATCCTGAATAATCGACGCATAACCTGTCGTGAGATTGCACAAGAGACGAATCAGCATTTCAGCACTAATGACGAAGTGAGGCAGGCTGTCCTACGATGGTTCAACCGTTCTGACAAATCTTTCTATGCCGAAGAATTCCAGGCATTAGTTAATGTGTAAGTAAACTCCTTTTTACATGTTTTACCTACAGGTAAGCCTTTAATAAGGCTTACCTGTAGGCACTGTAAATATCTCCTAAACGTGCACCGTTTAGGAGATATTTACTCTAGAAGCGCCGGTGATGTTACTAGAGCTTGCTCACTGCACTCTCAATGGAGGACGTACCATCCACTGAGAGAGCTGTGCCATGGCCAAAACTCCCTTTGCACATGTGCGGTAGTGATGACATCGCGCCCTGGCCAATCACATGGTCGCATCTCGTGAACCTGGAAAGACCGGGGTGAAGATGGAAGCCCCGGGGAGCCGTGACAGTACTCCACTGGAGGACCTCGTTTTCAGGTAAGTCATTCATAATATGCTAGTATGCAATGCATACTAGCAGATTATACTGTTAGTTTGTAGGGAGAATATTTTTTTTTTTTTTTTTTGCAGTTTTACTACCGCTTTAAAATCTGGGATAAGTGTATAAATGTAGCAGGGAGAATGTAAAAAATTAAATGCAGCTTCCACTCCTTGAAATTTGTTCTTTTATTATACAAACTTAAAAGTCTATGTTTGACTTGACCAGCCCTAGTATTGAGATGTCCCTGGGGTCAATTAGCAACTATAGGCTTCCCATTTATTTTTTTCTCCCCACCAAGAGAAGCCAATACCTTGACAGGCAAAAACATGTGAATGTACCTGTATTGTACAATGAACATTCATAGGAACTATCGTTCAATGGCCAGTTCAATGGTAAGGGCACTCACAGCTGGCCATCTCGTCTCACCATCTTGTCTCAAACAAGA